TTAAGGGTGTTAGCTAAGTAGATTGGGAATATCTATGTAATTGCTGGAGCAACCCTCCATATCTAGTAAGATGTTTTAGACCTAAAGATATAGTGCACTTGATGTATTTAATTTTTTTTATATTTAAAAATCTTAAAGCTTACTCTAACAGTAAACCTAGTCAATAATATGAGCTTCTTTTCTTTAGCATGTTTCAGGTTATGGGGCTTTGGGAATTGAACTTTATAGAACTTGCAGATGCCGTATGATAGAGTGGTTGAGGCCACAAGTGTTGAGTTGTTATTCTATTAATCAAGAAATGCCTTATTAAGTAGAACGAGTAGCATTTTTGCAACTATAATCCCACCCCTACGGACTGAAAATTTTCTATATTATTTGTTAAAATGATGATTTAATCTACTTATTGGTGCATTATATATTTTTCTTGACAATGCTCAATTTAGACTTATTGTTGCAGTACATATTTTTCTTTAAAGTAAGTTTAATCTACTTTGCTAGAGACTATAGGGATGATGTCTCCCATTTATTTGGGAGTTAGTCTAATCTTTAAACAAGTCACTAGAGATGGTATTTCTTTTCCTCCAAGTAAGTCCTTTTACTCTAAAGTAAAGTTTGATTTATATATAAATAGTTTAAATACGGAGTAACTCAATTCTACAGTTTGGCTATATGCAGTACGAGCGGTGTTCGGTAACACAGACTAATGTCACCGTGGATCATATAAAGTGAATTTTTCATGATGTTTGAAAGTTTTGTTGATCGAGTATGAAAACTTGAATTATGCAGGCTTTATTCAGTTAAATCATTGAGAAGCACTCCAAGGTCTTGCTTTATTGAATGCATATGCTACTGGAAGGAATAAGGATGTCTCACGTGTTGCAACTATAATTGTCGTCTTGTAATAGTGTAGATCATATCTCTAGCACATATTGAATATACTTAAGTGGTTTTATTTGTTTTGAATATTTTGTGTAACAATTTGACTAATAAATGAAAGTGCGGTTGGTTTGATTACTATCCCAATATCAATAAATGAGAATTATTAAGCAATAATGTAATGTTAATACCATAACTAATATATGATACCAAGGTATCATTATTTTCATGATGAAAATGTGTCAAAACGATTTATGATACTATAATATCATAATTATACATGATATTATAATGTCATAATTTTGTGACACTATTCTGTTTAGCAATCAGTGACACCAAATTTTGTGTCACTTGCCCCGCTTTTCTATGACACTTTCAGTGTGTCATTAAATCGTTTAGTGACACTAATTTAATGTCACTATAAGCCATTTTTTACTAGTGATAGGGTGGAGTACCCAAGGATCGGGCGTGTATCCTCAAAACTCGGTTATATAGGGTGGAGTACCCTAGGATCGGGCGTGTATCCTCAAAACTCATAGATTACTATTAAATTACTGTTTTGTAATTTAGGACCGGACGGTGTCCTCATGATAAGATGATTTGAACCAGGAGGAGTTCTATACACTCATAGGTATATGGGTGGGTTGAGGTTTAAGTCAAGGACATTGACTATACTAATTTTCCAAATAAACAATGACCTACGGGTCGGGTATTTCCAAGTGTATATATATACATACATATATATATATATATATATATATATATATATATAGAGAGAGAGAGAGAGGAATGATCATGTCTAGCCGGAGGGACAGGATCTTCCGTCCGGCCACCGCCGTTTGGGGTGGTTCCCGGTGGAGTTTTTTGATGAAATTTTTATGAAATGTTCCTCATCAAGTCTAGTTTATCCACAAAACATTTCAGCTAAAAATTCGATCGGGAAGGCAGTCAAATAATTTTTTGAAGATAACTGCTCCAAATTAAACATATAAAACGCAGTTATGTTTCAAAAAATTATTTGACTGCCTTCCCAATCGAATTTTTAGCTGAAATTTTTTGTGATTAAACTAGACTTGATGAGGAACATTGGATAAAAATTTCATAAAAAAAATCTACCGGGAACCGCCTTAAACGGCGGCGGCCGGACGGAGGATCCTGTCCCTCCGGCTGGACAGGATCTTTTCCGTATATATATATATATATACTGATATGTATTTCATAACTTGGGGGAAAGAACTATACGTATATGTATCACCCTATGTTTGGGTCTTATACTTGAAACGTTAGTTATTCTACATTTAGCCTGCTACTCGCTCGGTACTTGTACTGACCCCTTCGGGGGGGCACCATTTCAGGTTGAAGCTCAAGCTTGCTATTCTCACCTTGCTCGGTGAAGTGATCTAAAGGAAGATGTGATTCGTGCTTCCTTTACTGTTTTAAACTATAAACTATGCTCATGGATAATTTGTAATAAATACATTTGTATTGGGCCTGCGAGCCCACGTTTTGACCATGTGTGGCCCATGGTTGAATATTGAATATTTCTGCTATTCGTTCAATCCAAATATGTGATGTTGTTATGTATGTTTACTTACTGAGTATGGTATGGACTATGTCCATGAACGCCTTGTATGACTAAGTCACGTTGACTTGTGAGTGACGTCATTTGGTCATACGCTCAGATGCGGTCTGGGGCGTGACAAGAAGGGTCAGAGTGCCATTCGCAACTGTGAATCAACCCTGAAAGGATTGAAAGTGTGGTACTAGATTTTGTACACTACTGCGCAATTTGAATGAAAATGGTAAGATTACTTATTTGTCTAAAATTATGAGTATTGTTGTGGCTAGTGTTCGTGTATAACTAGTTTGGGGAATTAGGGTTCATGTGGTTTATGTCATTTTATTAGGTTTTCGGTGGTAATTATTTGCGTTTGTTAGGTGTTTTTAATCTATGATATTGATCATTCACATGGTGACTTATTATGTTATAGAAGACAGTCACGTTAGTTTACGCATATGACATGGGAGTGTGTTTAAGAAGAACGCTATGGGAACACTAGAATATGTGGGGGGTGAATCTAGGACGTTTGATATAGATGCAGATGAACTTTGTTCGTTTTAGTTATTAGAAGACTTGGCTAAATCTCCGTGGATTACTCCACAATAGATGTCATTTACTACATGGTTCCAATCTAAGCTATGACGAGAGTTTAAAAGGGCATATCGTGGTGATCAAGTGAGGAATTTCATAAGTATGGTGTTACAGAACATGCATAGATTGTTATGTCATTTGTGGCATTGATGTTCCATATTCAATTGAAGCAATTGAATATGGGGAACAAAGTGGATTTGCATAGATGAAATCATATTATAGAAAGAAGAAACTTAGTCCAAAGCGAGGAAGTAAAGTGAGGGTAGTAAGAGATTAGAATTCTTCCACTTCTCATTTTCTCAAGGTCAAGCTTCAGCACATGTGTGTACTCACATTGGGAAAGATGTAGGTACTTCAAAACCATTCACATCATATTTTGGACCAATTGGAAGTGATAGACCCCATAGTCCTTTCACATTGGATGAAGAAGATGGCTCATCTAACCAAGAATACACTCCACCAACTGAAGACCACATAATAAGAGTGAAGACCAAATTACATTGAAGAAAAGGAGGAGGGCAAGGATCCATGTGGTGGATGAAAGCATAGACTATAAGATCTTGGAGTGGAAAGTAGGGACCCGTCTTGAAAGTAGAGAAAAATTCAGAGATGCACTGGTAAGATTTGAAGATGCCCAAGGAATAAATCTCATGTTCATTGTGAGTGATAGGAAAAGGCAGCAAAGATTAGGTTTTAAATGTGTACCAGTGTGTCCGTTTAAATTTTGTGCTAGTTAGCATTGTAGAAGAGGTACTTTTGTGGTGAAACTTGTAGTGGGAGATCACAAATGTCCTGATAAAGAAAAGTGCCCCGATAAAGATAAAGCAACGCCTTCAAATGTTCAAAACCCACGTAAAAAATCAAGGGAGAGACCAAGGAAGGGTTTCATCCCTTCTACTCAATCTATAACAGGAACTGAAATTGGCAATGTGATTGCCCAACCAACTCAAACTGAACAAGGTGGGCGGATAATGATGGCAAAGGAAGATGAAAATGCAGAGGAAGACAAGTATTAATGAATTATGAAAGTCAATTTTATTATGCCCAAGGTAGTTATGATTGTTGTTATTTGAATTGTACATTTCTGAAAATTTATAGTGAAATTTAATTTGATGAAAGTCTTTCATCAAATTTGAAGACACCTGATCAGGTTGGAACTCCGCAAATCATTTCAATGGTTGCCTATCTTCCTTCAAGTAATACCACTCGACGAGTAGCCATTTTTATGTTTAGGATGATGTTTGATGCATTGTGTTTCATAAATTTTGTATTTCCTAGGATGATGTATTTTGGATGATGTCAGTTTAGATGTATTTGAGATTATGTTGGTTGTTCATTGATTGTTTTTTGTTGAATTTACCAGATTTTGGATGATGTCAGTTTAGATGTACTTTGTTAAATTTACCAGATATTGATGTCGGTTTATGGTTACCAGATGTGTAAGACTCATTGTTGAAATTAATGTACTCATTTTGGTTTTTGTTGATAGCTTTAGTTTGACTAAGGTACTCGTTTTATGTAGCTTATTATGTAATCCTAACATGTTCGGAAGTGATTTCAATTTGTTATGGTTACATATTGAACAAACATTTGAGGATCATAATTCATAACATCTCTTAAAAGGTATTCAAAATGATATTGAACGGTATTGTAAATATTGAACAAAAGGATTATAACCTTCTTGCACTTTTACACAAAATGGTAACACACAAGTTAATGAAACATACACATGTTTAAAGATAAACTTGTCCTTCCAAACAGTTCATACACATGGTAGCAATGGTACAAATTTGACACACTGTTATAGCTAACATACAACCTCAACAAGTACATTAGCATAAAGTTTACTCTTATATATTTCACTTCAAATAACTTAGAATAGCAAACACTATCCAAGGTACAAGTACAACCATAATAGCATACTGTTGAGGTTAATTCGATTAGATCCAAAGGAAATCAATAGATCAGATGACTCAATGGCTCCAATTGCATTAGTGAGATTGTGTTATTACAGAGAAATGACTCAATGGAGTACGGACAAACTAATAATACAAGAACTAGAGTCAAGTATAATGCTAATGAGTATCAAAATGCTAACTCTTTACAATAAAATAAATGTTACGATGTATACTAGAGGTGGGTAGATGGGTGAGATGACGTGGCGGATTTTGAATGGCTGACCCCTTTGCCACTTGCAACACCCATGCTCTCACTTGAGTACCCATACTCCGGCATTAAATGTGCCCTTGCCACTTGCAAGGCTTTCTCAATTGGTACTTTAGGCTGATGTAATTAGTAACCAAGAAGGATGCTCGTTATCTGTCAAGTATGGAACTTGACCCATTTGGGAACTACCGAACGGTTCATGCTCAGTGGGCGAGAACCCGTTCGGGACCCCAATGCTCTGCCTGATATTCATTGGGCTTCACTGCTTCTTTTGGGCTTTAAGGATATTTTGGGCCGAGTTACTGGGCCGGACCCTAAGATCCCAACACATATCTTTCTCCTTTAGGATTTTTGGAAGCCATCATCTCCACTTCAGTTATCACAACACTCATTTTATTTTTCTTGTTCTTCAGCTTTTGTAATTTTTCTTCCAAGATCTTCTTCTCTGCCAACAATTTCTCAATCACTGTGTCTTTGTTAATCATTTTGTATTCATCATAATGCAAGTGGTTGTCATTGTACCATTGAAAGTACCCACAATCTCCATTCTAATGTCACCACAACACAAATAATATAAGTCACACCTAGTAAAAATAATATGTACATCACAGAAGATACATATATAAATTTCACAAATGCACGTCAATTGCCTATAAAATCTGCAGCCAATCGCCATTAATTTAAACAAACCTATTCACAATAAATTAACTTATGAAACTCCTAAATTATACTAAACCAGTTTCACCTTATCTTACCTGGTATGAAAACCCTAAATTCAACCAAAATTGTCATAGGTAACCTAAATTCAATCAATAACCTTATTTGTGGGTTAACCTAATATCCATACTAATACAATCAAAATTGCAAACACGGAATACATACAGCTAAAGTGAGCATTCAAAAAAATTATCCAAGATTTTAATCGTTCTTACTTTGGCCTCTATGTTGTGATGACAATTACGTCTGACCTCACCTCTAGTTGAGTTGCATTTCCAAGAAGAGGACCACTCACGAACTTCATGGCGAATGCTTTTGTTTGCATTCTTCGACTACAATTACTTACTTTCTTACATGAGAGGCCTGCAATCACGTGATTCTTTATTACCGGCTAAGATCTGGGCTTCAAGTTAACAGAATGTTCGGGAAAGTTGACTCCTTAATCGGTATTAATTTAGAATAACTCATATGAGGGATTAATAATAGAAGATCATGAATTGGTTGGATTATCAGTGTTAATCTTTCCTATGGCTTTTAGTAATATTCATAGCATACGAACATATTAAAAAATTAAAAGTAATACAACAACAATGGTCAAGCTTGAATCCTAAAAGATTTTGGGGTTGACTAACATATCGATTCATGTTATTAGTGCGTAAAAGTAAAAAAAAGATAAGGGGAAAAGAGTAAGTTAAAAATGGATAAGATAAAGTAAATATAAGATAACTAAAACATAATAATATAATAAAGATAAAAGATAAAAAGACAAAAGAGCATAAAAAAGATAGAACATAAACATAACATAAGAACACACACACAGAGAGAGAGAATAGATCACTCATCCACACGAATGTGCTCCATCCATTTTGCTCTTTCCAAAGTCATACTCTTTTCAAATTCATACTTTCATCCAACCCAAGAAGACGCATATCAATTTTGATTCCTCTAATCCAAGTTTGTTTGGGTCTTCCCCTGTCTCTCCTCTGTCTCCTCTCCTCACCCCTCAAGTCGTCTAACAGGTGCATCACTCGGTATTCTAAGAACATGCCCAAACCACCGCAAACGAGACTCCTGCATCTTATCTTCTATAGGTGTTACTCCCAGCTTTTGTCTGATTATGTCATTCCTCCAGCGGTCTTTTCTGGTATGTCAACACATTCAACGCAGCATACGCATCTCTGTCACACTCATATTTTGAATGTGACATTGTTTCACCTAGGGATGGCCTCAGTTCGGGCTGCCCGGCCCGGGAACCGGCCCGGCCCGCTACTGTGCGGGACCGGCCCGACCCGCTACTGTGCGGGACCGGCCCGACCCGGTTTTTCGGGTCCGGGTCCGGTTCGGGCCTAGGCCCGGGGGCTTGGGCGGTTCCGGGCTCGGTTACAATTTTTGGCGAACCGGCCCGGCTGGGTCGGGCCCGGGCCAAAAACTTTTTTTTGTTTGTTTTTTTCATTTTTTTTGGGCTTTATTGAGTTGGGCTTGATGTTTAGGACCGGTTTGGGGGGTTTGGGGGGTTTGGGGGGTGGGGGGGGGGAGAAAAGAAAAGGGAAAAAAAATAAACTAACCGGGTGGCCCGGCCCGGTCCGGCCCGGAACCGGACCCGAAACCGGTGGCCACCGGTTCGGGCTCGGGCCCAACAAAACAGACCCGAGGCCCGGCCGGGCCCAGGCTCGAACCGGCCCGAGGCCATCCCTAGTTTCACCGCCTAACACTCTACGCCATACATTAATGCAAACCTAATTGATGTTCAATAATATTTGTCATTCAGCCTAGTCAGCATACATCGATCGCATAGAAATGTTGATGCACTCTTCCATTTCATCCACACAACTCTGATTCTATGTGATACATCTCCATCTAATTAATCATCTATCCTTCTGAATTATGGAACCCAAATAAAGGAGCATATCACTCATCAGTATCTCTTTACCATCCAAAGTAATCCCATTGTTACTACTACTTCTACCTCCACCAAACTTGCACTTCATATTGTCAATCTTGCTTCAGCTCAGTCTAAAGCCTTTGGTCTCCAATATTTGTCGACATAGTTCCAACTTTACTTTAACACTCAATTGTGTCTCATCAATCAATACAATATTATCATCAAACATCATGCACCACAGCATATCTTCTTGAATTAATTTTTAAATAATTGTTTTATACTTTGTACTTAAGAATATATTTACTTGGATTGTTTTTAGTTCCAGACCAGTCTTTAACAAACAAGACCAGACCAGGCTTAAACGGGCTAGACCAGACCAGACTTTCATAGTTATAAAATACAAAGAGACCTGACATTTATCAGACCGGACCATCAAATTTTAGTCAAGTACAAACATCTTAGCTTTGCTTTTCGAATTTAAAAGCTGTGTTAGGAGATGTATGCTTACAATACTTTAGAGTTTAGAGTTTTCTATCATATTTTGCCAAATTAAATCACATTATAATAATCTAACATTCTAACTTGTACTTTTCTCAAACTCATTTTTATTTCTAAGCATCGCCAACTTTACAATTACGCAGTTCTTCATTCTCTAAAACAAATAACATACACAAAACAAACACTACCATAGTCTACAAAGTAGTTAAAATCATTATTATAACATTCCAAGTTTAATACAAGGATAATGATAATAATAGTAATAATAATAATAATAATAATAATAATAATAATAATAATAATAATAATAATAATAATAATAATAATAATAATAATAATAATAATAATAATAATAATAATAATAATAATAATAATAATAATAATAATAATAATAATAATAATAATAATAATAATAATAATAATAATAATAATAATAATAATAATAATAATAATAATAATAATAATAATAATAATAATAAGAATAATAAGAATAATATCATTTAATAATAATGTTAGAGGACAGATCATATTAGGCCGGCCTGATGGGAACCGCCATCAGGCCGAGGCCATCAGAGGCCCTTCCCGGTGGAATTTTTTGATGAAATTTTTTGAGCATGTTCCTCATCAAGTCTAGTTTGTTCATACCAAATTTCAGCTAAAAATTCTACCGGGAAGGCAATGAAATAAATTCTCTACCAAAACTGCGCAGTTTATGTATATATAAAGTGCAGTTTTTGTAGAACATTTATTTGAGTGTCTTCCCGATTGAATTTTTAGCTGAAATTTGGTATGGATAAACTAGACTTGATGAGGAACATGCTCAAAAAAATTCATCAAAACATTTCACCAGAAAGGGCCTCTAATGGCCTCAACCGGACGGCAGTTTCCGTCGGGCCGGCCTGATAGGATCGGGACTCAATAATGTTAAGCCTGGCGTATTCAGAATCGCCTAAAGCAGCTAATTAGTATAGACATCCCATATATTTTCAAATAAATTGAACTACATTGACTAACTTAGTATAGACAACCCATATATTTTCATTTCGGATTAAATGCACCAAACCGCCTCGTGATATGGAAATTTGGCGCATTAACCCCCTATGATTTAAAAAATGCGTCAAACCTCATTGTGTTTTAATTAATTATGCGCAAAATCCCTTATATGAACAAATTAAATTGTCAACTAAAAGAAAAATGATTAAATTTTTTGTATGATATAGAGATTTTGACATATTTACTTGCATATTCAGTCAGAATATTAGAAAAAATTATTTCCAAATCATTAAATTTATTCATAAAAGGGATTTTGCGCATAATTAATTAAAACGCAATGGGGTTTGACACATTTTTTAAATCACAGGGTTTAATGCACCGAATTTCCATATCACGAGGGGGTTTGGTTCATTATACCCTTTTCATTTCACTTATACGCTTTTTTTTTCATTTCACTTATACGCATCTTATGCACTATTATTGTTTTAATTAGTCCCCGATTCAGCTAAATGCATTACAAGTTCAAAGTGGTACAATAAAAACAAGGGAAAACTGTCAAATAGGTCCTCGAACTTTCATAAAAAGGTCAATTAAGTCCTTCTATAGGAGGTTCTGTCCGGCCGTCGCGATTTGGGGCAGTTCCCGGTAGAATTTTTTGATAATGTTTTTTGAGCATCTTATTAACCAAGTCTAGTTTACTCATACCAAATTTCAGCTAAAAATTCAATCGGGAACACATTCAAATTAATTCTTGAAGATAACTGCGCATTTTTGCGTTCTCGAATTAATTTGAATGCGCTCCCGATTTAATTTTTAGCTGAAATTTGGTATGACTAAACTAGGCTTGATGAATAAGATGCTCAAAAAATTTCATCAAAAAATTCCACCGGAAACCGCCCCAAATCGTGACGACCGGACAAAATCTCCTATAGAAGGACTTAATTGACTTTTTTATGAAAGTTCGAGGACCTATTTGACAGTTTTCCCTAAAAACAAAGTTAACAAATTGCACAAATTTTAAAATACGTGCGTACATAAAAATATTGTTGTAGTTTACACCGTCTACAAAATCTACAATGACGGGCAGTCAACAAGACAAAACTATCCAAACTCCAAACCATTTTGGAACTATGGAAAACCAAAACTTGTTCTAACAACAACAATTCAACAACCCCCTCTAAATTTCAATAGGTCAAGAGTGCAAGCAACTAAACCCCAAATCAGAGGGAGTCACGATCTCAGAGCAAAGCGTGCACGAAATAATCTAACAACTATGGCACAAAGGGATTTTAAGAATGTGCATGCAAAAAAACAAATACAATTATATTCAGAGAGACGGAAAAGGAGTACAAATTAATATAGGGAAAGTTCCCGAAATATGACTAAAAAAGTTTGGAAATTCCAAAATAGGACTGTCATGTTTTTATTCCCAAAATAGGAGTAATTACTGCCAAGTTTGGAAAATACTACCATGTTTGAAGTCTGGTATTGCCAAAACATGACAGTAATTAGTCCTATTTTGGGAATAAAAACATGGTAGTCCTATTTTGGAATTTTTTAACTCTTTTAGTCCTATTTTGGGTAATATCTCATTAATATATATATACATATATATATATATATATATATATTCACGAAGGATTGTACAAATTCAATAACAAATGGAATGAAGAGAATTAGTCGGGGGAGCACCTACAACAGGGTTTATCTTCGAATTCTGCAATCGATCGGGAAAGTACTTTCTTACACCCGAATCATCATTGTCAACGGACAGACATCTCCGCATACAAAGAGTCCCATGGGTTGTGCAGCATAGTGTGATCAAAACTCAGGGCGGTCTTGTAAGGAGACCATCATCTCATGCCCAAATTATACCTCTGTTTTCTCTACAGATAAAGGGCAAAACAGGCCTTTTTAATGTTAGACCCATCAGGCACAGGGAATTACAAGACTGTCCCCGAATTCATAACTCAGTATGAAAACTCATGACCTCGGAGAGAGATGTGCTTCTTAACCCATATGGCGATATCTTCGGCACACGCTTGAGCCTGTGGGGTCTTAAGAAGCATGTCTAGAGTTGCAAATTCATGCACTGCATCCTTATAGTCTAACACCGGCGCATCAACATTTACCTTCCTCAGCTCCTCTGAGTAGGCAATGGCCCTATCCCTCATCCAGTCATGCTCTGCCACAATTGTCAATGTTGGGGGCATCCGTTTCAATGCAGGTCCCCTCCCTGGGACAAGTGGGTTAGCGGCTGGGTGGTCAAGATTGAATTCACTCTCTGGTAGTAATAATTTCCACGCGAGTATACATGTGGCCTTGTCGTAGAAGTAGGAGTTGGCAAGCTTTATCTCCGAGTGTGTGGGAATGCTTCCGATGAAAAAGGGGTACATCAGAACTTGTGCCACTACCTTGACCGGGTTCAAGCGCTTGCCTGCCTCTACGGCTTTCCGTGCCACATGATCAGCAATATTACCCCCACAGCTCACTCCAAGGAGTACACATCTGCATAATGCGCCGAATGTTGTTCATAATTACACTATGAAGACAACAGATAGTTTTGAAGTGGTAGAAACATTCAACTTCATTACTTCAGAGTTCATATATATATGTCAAAACAACATGAGTGATAATGATGTAAATGACCTCATCTGGTTAACTCAACTACAGAATATTAAAATTCAAAACTTCACATGATTTCTACAGAGATACCTAATAGACTAATATGCAAGAATGGAGCACGCAAGAAGCAAAGACAACATAACACGAAATATACTTCTATTACAAGGAAACTACTATCCTGACAGACAAAAAGGCAGGCAATGTACATTGTTGCAGATGTTTCTTTCCCTTCTGTAGAGATAATGCAGAATCAGCCAAACTTAGTTGGTATTTTATGATCAAGAAACCTCAAACAAAATAGCGTCATATGAATCCAAATTCATTCTTTCAGTTAACCCTTATCATCGTCTATACTACGTAGTTTGGTTGATGGGGAAAAAGAGTTGAATAATTAAGGGAAAAAGAATAGAGACAAAAATGAAAATGTCATTAGTAAAAAAGCACAACAATCATTGTAGGTGTCACTTGGAAAGAAGACACATCTTGAGGAATCATTAAATGATTTTTTGACAATATAACCCATTAACCCCTCTTGAAATACTCCTAAATATGTTGTCTTGGTTTTATAAAAAGGGTTAAAACGGAAAATAGCATAAGATGTTGTCTTAGGTGTAATAAACCGAAAGTCCGACACTAATTGTTTACAGTAAAATCCTCCAAAATTGCACCTCATTGTGTCATTGTGAACCGGATGAAGTTTATGATATTAATATGTATAATACTAACTAATACACTTTAGTGGGGTTCATTATCAATCACAAGCATAAAATTGCGCACTTCTTAAGATACCATGTGATTTATCAAACTTAGCATTTTGGTGAAAGTTGAACATATAGAGTTCTTTGTTAATTCAAAATATGTTTATTTTACTGATTTAGTCTCCACATGAGCACACATTAAAGGATACCATGTACCCTATACATGTACTTTTGTATTCCAATTGCTTATGATTGAAGACTACAGAACCTTAATTTTACAAGGCACGCGGCAGCATGAGGCGTTTTGATTCATTTTACTCGAAGCCCGAGGCGGAGGCTAGAAGCGAGGGATAAGGCGCGTGGGTGTGCCTAGCGCCTTTGCTAGTGCCTTTTAAACTTATTAGTAATTACATACCAAACGAGCACATACATAGTAATTACATACCAAACGAGCACATACAATTATCCAACAACATCCAAGCCATCCCAAAAGATATTGGGGTCGGCTAACATGATAAAAAATGGAGCCCAAATTTTTAAGTAAAATGTTCCTTATATTTGAGTGCTCAACAATCATCTGCTCTTGAAGCTGTCCTTTAAGCAATATCATGAAGTGCGACAGATGCTGAAAGATCGCACGTCCCAACTCCCAACCTTTATTGTTAGGAGATTTTCAGAATTTCCACAAGTTTAAATTTTAAATGATGAACCTAACAAACTAGTTATTCACTTATTCACTATTCTTTTCCAGTAAGAAACAAAATAATGTCTTTCTAGGGAGTGAATGCTAACCTTGACGGATCTCCGTGAGCAGCCATCCAAGGCTCCACCATTGATGCTCCAAAGGCATCTGCAATTTGCTTGCTTCCCAATGAGGACTTACAACATTCAGCCAAATTAGCTTGCTTAGCTACCCAATGCAGCACCTTCAACCCAT